GAAATATTCTGGGTAAGCTCATTTTAGAGGCATTCGTATTCTAGCATGAAATAAGTTTGGTTGAGTAGAACTCATATGTATAATCTTCACACAGCAAATGTTTAATCGACCGCAAAACTTTGCCATCGTGAGACCAGTTAAGTGTCTGCTCTTATGAGATTTGTCGTATAGTGTGCGAATACACTAGATGAAGTACGCGCAAGAGTAACAACAAAACTTTTTGGCATTTCGAAGAGAGTTTTTCTGAGCTTAAAAATGGACTGTAGTTTAATATCTCAGCGCTGAATGCCGTATATCCCATCAAGATGGCAAATCAATCTCGGGTATTTTACAATAACCTTCCTATTTGTTTTAGGACCTAGCCGAAACCTGCCCATAGTCCTACATCCTCTTCCACGCGTCGATGAGATCAGCACCGAGTTGGATCATGACGACCGTGCTGCATACTTCCGCCAAGCCAAAAATGGAATGTTTGTTCGTATGGCGATCATCGCTATGTTGCTGGGAAAAGCACCAATATAAACAAACTCTGATCTTGTCTTGGATGAATTTTAATGAGCGATATCGATTTTACTGCATGATGACTGCAATCTCACATTTCAAATTTGATGCCTTAACAATTTTGCCATTCAGTCTTTTCAACCTTCATTCATTTATAGTTTGTTTGAAGAGATCCTCCGTTGATTATGTTGTTCAAGTTGTTGCCATTTGTTGTACAAGTTTTATCGTAAATATAAATGCTTTTGAAACATTTTAAACCTCATTAGTAGATGAGACAGTCAATTTATTAATTAATCTATGCCTACATTTATGAATTACGTCAAAGTGCATCAGAATTTTCAATTTCGTTTCTTTGAAGTGCTTTTGACGATGTTGTGGGTGAAAGCAGCTGTGATTGGCTGCATAGTTGAAGCATTCAGAAATTTTTTCGAGTGCGAATGTCGAATATTTTTTCATCAAGAAAATATTCGAACAAATGAATAGTATTTAATCGTCAAATGATACGTATTTGAATCCGAATATTCGAATACTAAGGTTCGAATCTCCAGCTTTTGAGTCATGAAATAGTTGGGCAGGACCGAATATTCAAAAATTCGAACAATGGAGTCACTGCGTTTTTTCGAATATGCGAA